TGTGTGTGTGTGTGTGTGTGTGTGTACGTATTTGTGTGTATGTGTGTACGTATGTGTGTGTATGTGTGTGTGTATACGTATGTGTGTATGTGTGTACGTATGTGTGTGTATGTGTGTACGTATGTGTGTGTGTGTACGTATGTGTGTGTATGTGTATATATATACTGGTTGTCAAGTAAATGTAAAAATGTATTTAAAATAACATGAAATGGGAAAACAAATACTTAACAGATAAAGAGCCTATATATACAGTTTAAAGGGACCGAATAGTCCCATTACACATGTGTAGAAGGAGGGGTGGTAAAGACGTAATCATGTATATTCTTGAGCTCAGTTGGGTCTCTGAACCCACATCGCAGACCACGAAATATTCCCCTAAGCGCTTCGTCCCTACCTTCAGCAGCCGCCATAAAATTACAATGCCTACGGCGCCTGCCAGTAGCAGTCTGATTGTTTGACCGTCTTGTCCCCCCACCCCCTCTCTGTCCCCCCACCCCTCTCTGTCCCCCACCCCCTCTCTGTCCCCACACCCCCTCTCTGCCCCCCTCCCCCCCCCCTCTCCGAATCGTCAGTGAAATGTCAATTCTTAAAACCAAGAACAAATTACATGCTACAGAAGAAGACTAAATAGTTTTAGAATTGGTGCTAAAACAATCGTTATTACTGTCAATATTCAACCAACAAGAAGCAAAGTTACAGAAAACAGTCGCGAAGATACCTCGAGTGCTGCAGTGCAGTGTGGGTCGATTTTGTTTCAGTGACCGTTAGTCGAGGTTAGTCCAAGAAGTGACACGAAAGTTAAAGGCCTAGTTGTCAAGGATTAGCAAATGTCAGACCATAATTGTGAACCTAAGTGAATTTTGTGCTAAATTCGCTAAGGTATTATAAAACACACCGAGTAAAAAAGTTAAACCTCACAAAATATACGATCGAACAGATCGCGAAGACGTTTAAATTACTTAAAACGCCGGAAACTTGTGACTTTTGATAAACTTTCTATCCAAGAGAGTTCTATTCTTTTTCTATTTACTGTGTCTTCTGGTTGGGTTGCATAAATGCTTACATGAATTAATCATTCACTCAGTCAAAAAAAAAGAATTGACGTTTCTGAATTTTTAAAGAAGACTGCATCTATGATTTTGCTCATAATGTTACAGTGTTGATTCTTAAAATCCAAGACTAAACATTTGCTACAGAAGGCAGAACGAAATGGTGCTCTTTATCTACAACTTCAAGCAGGAGGATGCTCTGACGTGGATAGCAGAAAATAGACTGGTCATAGGAATTATAGTGACTGATTGCGGGAGACCCGAGTTCGAGCCCCGGTAAGGTGCTGAAGATTTTCTGACGGGGGGGGGGGGGAAATTAAACATCCTAACCAGTACAGTTCGTGGCGACAGCGCTAGCCAGGTGGCTCTAAATCCTCAGACTCAACCCCCAACCCCCTCCCCCCCCCATCCCCACACACACCCACACACACACACACACACACACACACACACACACAGGCCTAACAAGGGGTAAAACACGCAGTAGTGACAGTGAAAGTAGATTCTAAGTCGGTACTGTGGAATGTCTAAAATAGACACAAATGCATGCATGGATTCCAAGTATCAGCACGCCAACAAAAGAGAGACTCACAAGGATATGCCGTTATGAATATGCAGGAGTGTGAGAACACGAAAGAGCAAATCTGGCTGCAAAAGCGATAGCTGCAGAAACATTCGTACAGGACAAATGAGACATTATGTAGATGATACCAATAACAGTCTGACTGTAAGTACATCTTACCTTTCCTCTTATTTGGAGTGTCGGCCAGATCCCATAGTCACGCCCTGTTGCCCCATTCTTTTCAAACCATGATAATCTAAGTGTGCCTTCACATTGTTCACTCCCTCCCAGAGAGCCTTGACAACATCTAGCGTGTCATGCAGAAATTTACTACCAAGTGGCGCAGAGCCAGCAAGTCTCTCCGCCTGTTCGTTGCCTACAACCCTGCAGCACCTGGAGAAAATATCCAAAGGATGCTTGGTACCCTGGACTTATGAAGTGATGCTTGCCCCTCTACACGAAGCATACCTGTCTCCATCTTTCTCAGCATGCTTTGTGTGTCAGTTACAGTCAAAATATGCAGCTGATTCTCAAGCCAGCGGAACGCTGCAGTTACTGCCTCCATCTCTATTCTCAAACAAGATGTGATATATACCAGGCATTGCTGCGCTAAGGGTCATCCATTCGATTTTTCTATGAACCCCCATGCACTTCGTCTGCCTTTCAACAAAGAGCCATCAGTACAGATAATCACATCACCAGGGTGGGAATCGTTATGCATCAGCTGCCGAATTTCTGATGCCGCAGCACCTGCTGGCCACTGTTCATTGTTTATTTCTTATCGGAAAGTCTTTACATTCGCTACCCAGTATGATTAGAGCACTACATAGGTCTGCTGGTTGCTCAGCCACTCTGATCCACTCCTCTCCTCCTATTTCGACCTCTGCACATTCACTGCTTTTGAGCTGAAATGCTATAGAAATATTCTCAGAATATCTTGGACAAAGAAGATGAGAAATACTGATATCTTAAAAGATCTGAACATCAAGGAAGATTGGCTAATAAAAACCATCCTTTCTCGAAAACTGAAATATTTTGGTCATATCAAGCGCCACGACGGATTGAAAAAAACATTATAGCAGAAGGCGTGGTACCAGGAAGGAGGGGCAGAGGCCGACCGACACGAAGATAGGCACAGGATATTAGTGACTCCTTGAGTGTGAAAGTGCATAGGCGGGAGAACTGGCGAGAGACCGAGTTTCTTTCAGTCAGACCGTGATGAGAGCGACGTTCTGCAAAGGACCTGCTTCATGATGATGATGATGATGATGATGATGATGATGATGATGATGCACATTCACTACACCCAGTGCAAAAGAGTGCACGCCAATCACATCCAGCGGTCAGTAATGTAGTAACTTTGCAGGAAATGGGCAGCCAAGCTAAACTGCCCGGTGCTCTGTACTTTCTCTCAAGTAATCTTGAAGACTGACACTGCAAGTCGCAACTATCCCACTTGAAACGCTCCAGGGTAAACATCGTGATTTAAGTAAGGTTGCAGCCCCCATAGTTGAGCAAATAATAAATCATCAAGTACCTTGCCCACTGGCGTCGGCAGATATTTATCTAAGCAATGTTTCCCCGATGTGAATTTGAACAAAGAAGACACAAACAATAGACTGCACAATTTATTGCCTGGCATATTTGGCTGTATCTCATCAGGTATGTATCTCATCAGATACAGCGAAATATGCCAGGCAATAAATTGTGCAGTCTATTGTTTGTGTCTTCTTTGTTCAGATATATATCTGTACAATCTGCTATCCGCTACTGCGTGTGTCAGTAATGTGCGCCGACACCCCTCCACACCATGACAAAAGCCAGCCAAGATTTTTCTCGCGTTATATTATTCCTCTGTCTATATTTCCACAAATCTTTCCGGTGGTCACAACATTTTGCAATTTCTTCTTCTCATAACATGCCTACAAAATTATTACTGACTCTTTCATATGTTTGTGATAAGTTGTCTTCAACACCTCGCCTTTTTCAACCCATCTGGGTGGCTCTGTTTGGCTGGTGAACTATCAATATTTAAACTGATACTGATAGCGTCACAGATAGAGAACTGATTTGACACTATATGTGAAGTAAAGGACCCCCTTTTCCACGACTACAGGTGATTGGGCACATAGGGCTAGATGTACATTTTATAAACCAATCAAAACTTGGTAGGTGATGTGGTAAACATCAAGCCAGACCGCCTTTACTTCCCAGGACTTTACTGGAAATCATTTAAGGCTTGGTCTACCTGGAAGCTAAGGTCATTTTTGAAGAATAAAAACAAGTCCGAATCGTCAGGATCTGAACCCATGACCTTCCTAGCCACAGGCAAGCGTGAACTGGACATTATACTTACTGTTGTAGACCTTACTCTTCAAAAAATGGTTTTTTGACTTTTGCTTTCAACTTTGACATTCTGACAGGTGTTCAAGTCTCCCATTTATTCAGCGGGTAATTGATCTAAAAGTCTTCCATTCATTCAGAGGGTAATTGGTCTACCAGTCCATTCAAGCCACCAACAGGTCTACAAATGTCCCACACAAATATAAGTCGCCTATACAAGTTATCAGCGAGTAGTTGATCTACACGTCTCCTATACACGTAATCAGCGGGTAATTGGTCTACAAACCTCACATACAAGTTATCAGCGTGTAATTGGTCTACAAACCTCACATATAAGTTATCAGCGGGTAATTGGTCTACAAACCTCCCATACAAGTTATCAGCGGGTAATTGGTCTACAAACCTCCCATACAAGTTATGAGCGGGTAATTGGTCTACAAACCTCCCTTACAAGTTATCAGCGGTTAATTGGTCTACAAACCTCCCATACAAGTTATCAGCGATAACTGGTCTACAAACCTCCCATACAAGTTATCAGCGGGTAATTGGTCTACAAACCTCCCATACAAGTTATCAGCGGGTAATTGGTCTACAAACCTCCCATACAAGTTATGAGCGGGTAATTGGTCTACAAACCTCCCTTACAAGTTATCAGCGGTTAATTGGTCTACAAACCTCCCATACAAGTTATCAGCGATAACTGGTCTACAAACCTCCCATACAAGTTATCAGCGGGTAATTGGTCTACAAACCTCCCTTACAAGTTATCAGCGGTTAATTGGTCTACAAACCTCCCATACAAGTTATCAGCGGTTAATTGGTCTACAAACCTCACATGCAAGCTACCAGTAAGTCTACAAATCTCCCCTGGACGAAGCAGCGAATAATTGATCTACAAATCTTCCATACAAGCCATCGATTAGTCAACAAGTGTCACATACAAGTTTCAGCGGATAATTGGTCCACCAGTCTCCCAGACAAGCTGCCAACAGGTCTAAGTCTCCCACACAAACCACCCCATCTACAAGCCTCCTTGCACCCGGGAGATGCATTTTACTGGCATTGATCAGGAAACCAAACCAGTGCGTCCTGCTCCCAAATCTGGTAAGCTCGTGTTCACTGTTTGTGTTTCTAAGCGTGCGTTTGGTACCAGATAATTTTCGTTGTAAATTAGCAGTACCTCTATACACGACTCTGTTGCTTTCACTGAATCACTCGGGCAAGCCTTTTGGATCTCCGTCATCAGCGGTGTTGCTCGATATCTACACAGAAAGAAGCAATACTTTACAGTCCGTTTCGGCAGTCGTGCACAACTTTAAAATGTGTAACTCAGCAACAGAGATGTAGTTTCTGAGACGTATGTTACGAAAACCTTGGACGGCAAGAGTAATTAACAACAATTGCTTTAAAGAAGCTAATAAAAGTAGATCTCTATATACAACAATAAGAAAGAGACAAACACTGTTCTTTGGCCACATAATGAGAAGAGACACATTGGAGAACATTGTGACAACTGAAAAGATAGTGGGAAAAGGGGTAGAGGCAGACGAAGAGAGATGATGCTGGATGGGCTGAAACGATGGCATAGAGGGATATCGACAAGAGAGCTGTTTCAGGCAACCAGACATCATGATCTGTGGAGACGCCTGAGCCCCTACGCCAGTTGGCAGGGCACATGATGATGATGATGATGAACTCAGTGACCGTTTGGTGTAAGTTGTTGAAATTTGGCAAGCAATCTATTAACACTAATCTTCTTGTTTAAAAAAAAAAAATTTACATGTAAACAAACATCTAGCTTTCATGTTACCGTATTTGTGGTACATGAAGAAGCAGACACTGATTCAAAGTAAACGACCAGAATCAAACTTCAGTAATGACAAGAATTCTTTCCCACGCTTTCAGGCGAATTGGGTTTCTATGGCTAGATCTACATTATTTAGACCAACCGACACTTGGTGGGGGATGAGGTCAACATCCGCCTGACGCCTTTACTTCCAGAACTAAACCTGGTACCCATTTAAGGCTGTGTCGACCTGGTAGCTAAAGTCGTTTTTTTTTTTTTTTTTTTTTTTTCAGTCCGCTTTGTCAGGACTTGAATCCATGATCTCCCAATCCCCAGACGAGCAAACAGTTAGTTCTTTCCCCGCACAGGACTAGCAAACAGTTAGTTCTTTCCCCGCACAGGACTAGCAAACAGTTAGTTCTTTCCCCCGCACAGGACTAGCAAACAGTTAGTTCTTTCCCCGCACAGGACTAGCAAACAGTTAGTTCATTCCCTGCACAGGACTAGCAAACAGTTAGTTCTTTTCCCACACAGGACTAGCAAACAGTTAGTTCTTTCCCCGCACAGGACTACAGGTCACGCAATCCTGGTGTGGCTACTTCGAGTTCCCTAGTTATATTTCTCTGGGGGTTGAACAGGCAATTTAGGATTTGGTCTCTTGGTCTACCATTCATACTGAGATCATGTGATCTCAGGGCGTCAAACTTGCAGGTAGCGACTTCGAGGGGACAAACTACACGCATGTTGTCACAGTCGGACAGATACACAAAGGGCGTGGGCGGATTGACAGCGGTTGTCACGTGAACACCTTTCACTAAATCATCATGATAAGAAAAGAAAAGGACCGTTTTCCACACCTAAAGGCGTATTGGGAATATAGGGCTCAATCTGTTTCATAGACCAATCGGCACTTGATGGGTGATATGACCAGCATTACGCCGGCCGCCTATATTTCCCATGACGTTACCTTGTACCCAGTTAAGGCTGGGTCCACTTGGGAGCCAATGTCATTTCTGAAAATGTGTCGGCTCCAAAATCATCATGATAGGTAAGGTAAAAAGTTATCCGGTTAGGTATGTTAGTGATCATGTAGTATGATAGTGATCACATTCAAAGGGGAGGAGCATAACACCCACTGGCTCCCTTAGGAGCAGTTCGTCGAAGGCGAATAAATTAGAGATTGTTATTTTTTAGTCCAAGTTCATCTGTCCAAGGGGGAGGAACCAACAATGTGCATACGCCAGAGATGTAAAAAGAATGTGCATATGGAAAACTCAAGGTCTGGAACTAAACCAAGGTTCAAACATGGTCGAACAACCAGAACTTTCCGCCGGCGTTAACCCCTTTGAATGCGAAGGAGAATAAGAAATATACTGTTAAAAAACAATTACGCATAGTTATCCAAAAGCTCTTGAATACTTTTTTTTTTTTTTTTAAGCAAAGCTACTGAAAACTATTTTTTTTTTTTAATATCCAGAAACCATGAGTTGTTAACCCTTTGGCTCGGTACTATAGATATAGCAACTCTTCGGCCTTGATTCCATGATAGGTATCGTAAATCTGGGAGAAATGTGGCTTTTCTGCCTACCCCCGGGAGTAAACCCGGACCACAAGGAGTTCGTCACCCGGTCACAGCGCAGTTTGGTTTAGCCATCTACGCTAGAGAGAGAGAAATTGTTCAAATTGCACACAAACATATCTTAGGGTGTAAACAATCACTTGACAGCTCTTTTGCCTCTTGGTTGTCGATAGTTCTTAGATGTACCAGCTATCCCTTCAACTAATAAACAACTCACCATCGGATAACTATTGGTTTCTTGTTTTCAACAATATCGGTGGCAGATGTCTCGTTTCTGTGTGAGGTATCATGCAGTTCTGTTTTTGTTATTCTCTATTTCTAAGGTTCGTGTAAAGTCAAAGTTCTCCCCAGGGGCAAGTTCTCACGCACAGGCGAGATCAAGCGAAAACAATGGGATAGCACCCCTTATATTGGACACAGTGGTTTCAAGTAGGTGCCTACAATTATGGCCTCCTCTAGATACTGGAGAACGTCCTCATACATGTCTGTGTTCTTCTTTCACATTCCTACCTGGTGACCTGACCATCCCTAAGAACTGCATAATGGATGGTAATCCAGCAGAGTTGAAAAGGAAGTTATAATTAGGCTAACGGCTGCACCGAATGATGTGTCCTGAAGTCCTATGCGAGTAAGAGATAAACCAGGTTGTAATGAATCGTTTTCTGATTGTTACTAGTAATTAATGTTCTCAGTCAATGTAAATGAGATAAAATGCTAAACATACATTATCATCTTGAATTAGGTTGAATCGTATCGAGTACAAAGTATGTATGCATAAACGGACTGAGTTGAGTTGAGTTCAGTCAAGAATTGACATCACAGCACTCGGGGCATTCCCATGCGGGCTGCGTCCTACAGCAAATTGGCTGAAACGTGCCAGATGAGAAAAGCATAAATCGTCCCTTGAACGTTCGAGATCCAAAGAGGGGAACATGCTATTTAAACTTGGAACAAATGAGAAGATACAGAAAGCCGAGAATCGTATGGCGCTTGTAGAATTAGGAGTGAGTGATTCTTCAGAGCAAGTGAATCTTAGATCGAGTAGCCGAAAAACCTGACTATCCAGTTCCGTATAAATGACTGACATTGCGTCTACTGAGATCAACTAGCTTCCGTTCTTTTAAGAATGAAATTTTTCGTTATTTGAAGCCCTACTCTGGCTCTTGCCAGGGGCTGCACTATAGCCCAGCCAGAAATATGGCCTAATGGCTGAACGCGGTTTCTGGGACCTCTCCATGGTGATCCTTATCCACAAGGTGGCACATTGTGTCATCGGGTGTTTATTGCTTGTGTGATATCCTGGTGGGGTAGAAAGTAAGTCAGTCTACTGAGATGAGCGTCGGGTAGCTCTTGAAGTGTCTACGTTTGTAAGTGCTGTGTTTGGTCATCCTATGAAGGTAACGCTAATTCATTGATGCTTTTGTATGTGGCCGATCTGCTCGCGCCTAGACATTCATACCTCTGGTTCATTGACGAAGGCAACAGTTGTTGAAACCAATAGATATTTCATATCTGATCAACGGTGGCCCTTTTCCAATGTTTCTTCTTCGTGCTGAAGATTATGTTGAACTGTCAGTGTGCCTAAGTAGGCTGTATGCGACTAGAGCTCGAGGAGAGTCTTTGCACACGTGGATGGTGCTCGTTAACAATTTATCTGAAGTGTGTTTTCATATCCCCGTGTAGGTTCCGAAGTCCCATTGTGGGGGAAACAAAAATACACCCACTGCCTCTCCAACAAGTATGTCGTAGGAGTGTTGGAGTCGACTGTTGGGAATTTCCTTCGATGTCAGAGTACATCTGCCTGAGTGGCAAGGAACAGCCATGTGCACACAAATAAGCCAGTGAAACGGATGTACATGCAAATTTCAGGCCCTGACACAAAGAAATATCTAAATTAACGAACAACCATGACTTTCTATTGGAGCTTACAGCCGGTGAAAAAAGAAGACAGAAGAAGAATGTTACCTGACATTTGAAGTTTTTACTGGTTGGTCGGTTGACTGATTGCATAGTTGGCTGCTGAATCAACTTTCTAATTATTTATACTATTATTATTATTATTATTATTATTATTATTATTATTATTATTATTATTATTATTATTATTATTATTATTATTATTTTGTGTTTTCATTTCAGGCCAAACTTTCTAGTAACATTTTTTTTTTTCATTACTCTTGCGATTATCTGAACATTCTGAAGCAGCTTTTTCTTACTGCGATGCAACCCCCCCCCCCCTTTCCAGCCTCCCTTCCAAACAGCCGTTCATTATGAATTTTAGTCACGTGAAAACCCTTTTCCCGCCACACGCCACTGATATACGGTGCTAGACCCATTTTAAAAGACTAAACGGAACTCAAAGTGTGGTGTTTTCAACATCATAACATTATGTCGGCTGCCTTTATTTCGTATGAAAAGAAGAAGACTAAGGGAGAGGAAGAGATGATAGTGATTATGATGATGATGATGACAAAATATGATACGGAACTACTAATATATCATTAAAACTGGCTTTGTTGAATATCTTCAACAGCCGAAGAACGGTGTGTAAGAACCTTCAGCTCCCAGTCCCGACACCAGACTACACATGCGTGCCTGTTAAACGGACCAAACGTTTGAGGTAAACCCCTTTTGCCATAACGTCTAATATAAACACATTTTCTGTTGTGATGTTCAAGTTATCAGTAAACAGTGACATCAGTAAACAGTAACATCAGTAAACAGTGACATCAGTAAACGGTGACATCAGTAAACAGTGACATCAGTAAACAGTGATATCAGTCAACAGTGACATCAGTAAACAGTGACAAAGTCCTCGAGAGGGTGTGAAAACCCTAAAGTGGTTTTAAAAAAATAGGACGCAGACAGCCGTTATTTCAGAGAAGAAATTGACTGGAGAACTTGTTTACAGTTGACAAGACTGATTAAAATACCACAAGGGAAAGACAGAGGAACAAATATTTCGATGCCTTGGCCATATGGGCGGGGCGAGACAAGAGCACTAATTTCTTCAGGGAGCTGGCGAAATATGACAGCCTACGCCTATCGGAGGGACACGTGACAATGAATGATTGAATGAATGAATGAATGACTTAATGAATGCGTGCATTACACAATGGATGAATGAATTAATTAATTAAACCTACAGAGATTTACTGCCGTGTGTAAGAAGCTGACAATTGGAGACAAGAGCAAGCGTATAACATGCAAGAAAATGTAGCTGAAGGTTTTAAGTCATATTTAAGTGTGTAATAATAATAATAATCTGTCAGATGTCAAATTAAAATAATATACATATCAATTATTTAAAGAGTACTTCTATAGACGGTTATGTCTTACCCCCAGAAAATGGGGTATGGATGTGGGGAGGGGGCGGGAGAGACTCCCACTCTCTAATTTCTCTCTCAAGAAGCCCGGTCCCTTAGTTCCGTCGCCCCTGGAGGGTGATCCATACAGTATGTACCTAAACATTGGACCTGTGAGCGACAAATATATCGAGTATTTGGAAGTTGCACACGTGTGGTTTTATAGATGAATGATGAGACAAAAAAATAGACAGAATCAATAAAGATGTCTTGAAAGAAAGGTCTTGAAATTTCTTTCTTTTTCTTTTTCTTTCGTTCGCTTGAATTAAATTAGCTATATCTGCAGTTATCTCTGGCATGAACCTCACTGTCTGTTACAATTAAATCAGTTACCGTTAAAGTTTGGCTTGCACCGGTGTTTCTCTTGGCCAGAAGTTTTGCCTTGATATGTTGTATCTGGGACAGTCTTGAAGGATGCGATCTTTTATTAAAGTTGTCTGTATCAGAGTTTATTGAAATTACACGAAACAGAAGGTTGTGGACAGATATGACTACCAACGCCACACGGCATGGACTTTAGGAAAAAGGGAATGAATGGTGAAACGTCTTCATGAATTAATTACTGACTGACTAACTGACTGACTGTTTACCTCACCAGGACATCACGCAAGCGATAAACACCTGGTGACACATGGTGCCACCATGCGGATGAGGATCACCCGTGAATAGGTCTCAGAAACCCCGTTCAACCGTTAGCTTATATTAGGGCCCGTGGCAACAACTTCCTAATAACGAAAAATTCGTCCCACACGGGGGCGGGGATTAGGTTGAATTATTTACTCTTTTTCTCTCCATGCACATATTTATATGAGGATTGCCTGTTTTGGTTTTTTTAATTCGGAGCATTTCAAGTAAATTAAATAATGCCTACTTTGTATCTTTTTTTTTTTTTTTTACATAATATTTTGACACCTTGATGCAGTTATTTCAAAACCATTTCACATTGTGTCTTGCTTCTTGTCGTTGTATGCTGATAAAGGCTATTCACCGAAACGCCCTTTGCTCATTGAACACCTTCTCCTCGACTTGCGCAAATTGGAACATCCAAGCTTACGACCGCACACACAAAAATAATCAATAAAAATAGTAAAGAAAGAAAGATAACCACGCTGGTAGGGTCAAAAAGTTAACACAACTGTACCTAAAGTAGAGTATGTACTAAAATCATGTTAAGGTTAAGTTTAGTTGCGTATCCTTTACAGGACGTTGCAGAACCAACCCCAGCAGCCCCTGGCTGTTGTGTGGTTTCTCTAGGCAAATTTTACGTCCAGTAGTTTAAAGATGTACATAGATTTAAAGCGTGTGTTATGTACAATTTGTATAACCTGTTCGTTTGAAAATACTGTTCTACAATGATGTTCGACACGACTTAAGAGAAGTTTCAATTTAAACATATCAGTCAGAACGGAACTTGGTGTTAAGGTTTGAGATTTGAACATCGGATCAACTTCATGGCACACCCATAAGTATTTCGTTCTTCTTCTAGCTAAAGTGCACAGATTCTGTAGCACCGGCGAGGATCCTGAAATACTTTGGTTAGATTTTTAACTCAAAATTTTTCCCCGGGCAGCGCCGTTAGGTTTTTATTTTTTTCGTTTTCCAACTGCCAAGACATATTTTTTACGTGCGCCACAATGCACACGAGCGTCCGATCTCACTACCCAGAACCAGCGGGATTACTAGTGAAAAAAATCCTAGCCCTTACCGGGGATTGAAGTCCGAACCTCTAGCACTCGAGGCGGACATCGTGCCTTAAGACCACACAGCCCTCCGCGTTGGTATTAAGTCAAAGAGACCCTACACCTGGTTCGGTAAATCTGACGTATACTTTGTTTCTCTAATTTTCTACAATTTCTAAGTGTAGTACTTCAGATGAATAATATTGTGATGCCACCTCTTTATTTGTTCTGTAAGCAACGGAGAAATAGAGGAACGCGAGGTTCTGGTGTGTCAGGAGAATTGGAAGCCAGCTGTGTGGGCTTGCGGGCCGCAGAACATGGTCCACGTGATGCAGTGTCACAAATGGGGAGCGGGAATCTCCAGGACAGACCTAACACCTCTGCCCAACAACTACAGGATTTTGTGAGTACGCTTGTTTCTGTACTGTCACGATGGTTGGTTCAGGAGGAGTTACGTGAAGCGATATACAACCAAGTAGACCTACAGTGCGTTCCAGAAGTCTTGACGAGTTTAAAAATCAGTAACTCAGTAACCGTCCGGTGTTAAATTTTTGACATTTGACCTTCAGCCTGTTAGTGATTATGTCCGTGTAACAGATTCTTTTTTTTTTTTTTTAAGTCTCTCGTGAGTTGTAGATTTGTCATTGAATGGGGAATCGGCTATCAAATTAAAAGTCACAGATAGCTGCACATCTCAGCTGATTTCCAAACAATACACGTGTGTCAGTTACTGTATATTTGTGTCAGGGTTACAGAATTATTAAAGATCAAGGAAATTCGCCGCTTTGAGAAAATGCCAGCATCTACACAAGAAAAAATTCTAGAATCATAAGGACATGTGAAATCTAAGGCCACGTGCAAAAGTTCATATTGATCTGTATAGGAGTTTTCGAGATATGCTAAGTGTGACGGCATGAGCTTTGGAACACACTGTAATCGGCGGTTACAACGTCGGGCTCTCGTGCGGGAGACCCGGGTTCGACCCTTGGTAAGGCGATGGAGTTCTTCTGCAGTATAACAATTAAACATCCTAACCTGCACAGTCCTTGGCTACAGCACTAGCCATGCGGCCCTGAGGCTCCTAACCCCCTGTCTGGTTAGTTAGTTGCGTATCTTTTACAGGACGTTGCAGACCCAACCCCAATAGCCCCGGGCTGTTGTATGGTTTTCTAGGCAAATTTACGTCAAGTAGTTTGCCAATGCTCCCTGGACGGTCGGCTTTCTTGATTTCACTGTCGAAACGAATGCAAGGCGCATGGCCCGCAGCTGGGATCGAACCCGGCATCCCGAACCCCCTGTCTACTCCACCTAAAAAGTGGTAACTACAGACAGTAGTGACAGAACTAGTCAATCACAAATGCATTATTTTACTGTTTGCTCTTACTGTTTATTACACATACCCATTCAGTTTAGTTTTGCAAATAGTCAAAACATAGCCAAAAGTACTCTGGCTCATGCTGAAGTCACTCATGTAGAAACAGTGACGTGTTAACGATACCGGTTAGTAGTATTACAATACCAACTGTGCCCGCATACTATCAACAGCGAAGCGACGAGAAGGAAGATGTCATGTGATAACTTCTCCATTGTAATCCTACATGCTATCGCTTACACGTGCAAACTGATCACGTCTCGCCACATCTTTCTATGTTCTTTTTTTTTTTCGTGTGCTCACTCGCCTGTGTCGTTCCCTGGTCAGATTCTGCCTTGGTTCTGACCAAACGAAGACTGAAGATGTGTATGCCCACCCTGTTGTATGTGAGATCAGCAACGGAGCCGCCAGTCAAGACAGAGGGAGACTGTTTGATGAAGGTCTGTACCAGCTGTAGGTCTCTATGTTACCTCCGTCCTTTGTTCATTAGTTTCCCGTGTAGGTTCTGGGGCATCATTTTTGGGCACAATGAATATACCCACTGCCCCCCTTCCTCCAACAAGCATGTCATAGAAGGCGACTAATCAGGGATGTTTTCTTCAAAGTCGGAGTGCATTTGTCTGAGACCTAAGGAATCAACAATCTGTACAAAAATAAGCCAGATCTGTAAAACGGATGTGCAGGCAAAACTCCAGAAGTGGATTACCAACCAGGGGAGTTTACAACTAGGGAACGATAATAAGAAGAAGAAGAATTAATTTGTTTTCAACAGATAGAAGGTAATCATTGCTTTCCAAGGCACTATCTGTGAACGCGTGTACACACACACACATACTCACACATAGACAACGAGATAAGACAGCATATGTTGATCGATTATCTAAAAATGGAGAATAGGCAACTAAGAATGGAAATGGTCAAATACTAGACAATAGACTAAAACAACTAGTTAAAAAGCTTGTCCAGTACTTTCAAACTGCGGACTGGTACCATTAACAGTAAGGATGGTACAACGCTGACATTTGATACTAAGCAGAAGGAGAAATGGACAGAACACTTCCAGAAAATGTTAAATATATCACAAGAACCAATGAATTTTGATGAAGAGGCTAAAATCACCATACTAAAATAAATGTAGGACAGTTCAATGACATTGAAATCATGGAGGCAATCAATTCATTAGCAAACAATTAGGTAGCTGGTGATGGTGATACTACTGCAGAGATGCTGAAGGCAGCAGATGATGGTGATACTTCTGCAGAGATGCTGAAAGCAGCAGCTGATGTAACCACAAACCCAGTGAAAGATTTGTTGAATAGAATGTGGGCAGGGAAAAAAATCCCAATCAGTGGAAGAAATAAATAATTGTTAAAATTCCAAAGAAATGTAATCTTACTGGAATGTAACTACTGGAGAGTAATTACTCCGTTATCAAATACTTTTTGTAAAACAATTCTCGATAAAATTAATGGGTAATGGGCACAATTCTGAGTGAGAAACAAGCAGGGTTTCGACCTGGGAGAAGCTGCTTAGATCAAATTTTTGCTCTGAAACTTATTTTTGAGGTTTTTTTTTTTTTTTATTATTTTGAATTTCATTGACTTTAAGAAGGCTTTTGATAGCTTACATAGAACATTACTATACAGAATTTTGGAATGCTATCTTATACCGATGAAAGTAATACATGTAATTAAGGCAATGTATGAAGGGTCAGAGTGTGCAGTGCGAACAGATGATGGTTTAAGTGACTGGTGTGAAGTTGATACTGGAGTGAAACTAGGATGCATTCTATCTCCTCTGTTATTTGGCAAAACCACTGAGTCTGGAGTGAAACTAGGATGCATTCTATCTCCTCTGTTATTTGGCAAAACCACTGAGTCTGGAGTGAAACTAGGATGCATTCTATCTCCTCTGTTATTTGGCAAAACCACTGAGTCTGGAGTGAAACTAGGATGCATTCTATCTCCTCTGTTATTTGGCAAAACCACTGAGTCTGGAGTGAAACTAGGATGCATTCTATCTCCTCTGTTATTTGGCAAAACCACTGAGTCTGGAGTGAAACTAGGATGCATTCTATCTCCTCTGTTATTTGGCAAAACCACTGAGTCTGGAGTGAAACTAGGATGCATTCTATCTCCTCTGTTATTTGGCAAAACCACTGAGTCTGGAGTGAAACTAGGATGCATTCTATCTCCTCTGTTATTTGGCAAAACCACTGAGTCTGGAGTGAAACTAGGATGCATTCTATCTCCTCTGTTATTTGGCAAAACCACTGAGTCTGGAGTGAAACTAGGATGCATTCTATCTCCTCTGTTATTTGGCAAAACCACTGAGTCTGGAGTGAAACTAGGATGCATTCTATCTCCTCTGTTATTTGGCAAAACCACTGAGTCTGGAGTGAAACTAGGATGCATTCTATCTCCTCTGTTATTTGGCAAAACCACTGAGTCTGGAATGAAACTAGGATGCATTCTATCTCCTCTGTTATTTGGCAAAACCACTGAGTTTGGAGTGAAACTAGGATGCATTCTATCTCCTCTGTTATTTGGCAAAACCACTGAGTCTGGAGTGAAACTAGGATGCATTCTATCTCCTCTGTTATTTGGCAAAACCACTGAGTCTGGAGTGAAACTAGGATGCATTCTATCTCCTCTGTTATTTGGCAAAACCACTGAGTCTGGAATGAAACTAGGATGCATTCTATCTCCTCTGTTATTTGGCAAAACCACTGAGTCTGGAGTGAAACTAGGATGCATTCTATCTCCTCTGTTATTTGGCAAAACCACTGAGTCTGGAGTGAAACTAGGATGTATTCTATCTCCTCTGTTATTTGGCAAAACCACTGAGTCTGGAGTGAAACTAGGATGCATTCTATCTCCTCTGTTATTTGGCAAAACCACTGAGTGGGTGAATTTAAACAAAATGTGTTAGAAACACCAAAATTGACTGGGTGGAGAAGATGTTGATTTTTCTGATGCTATTATTCTCCTAAGTTCATGAGGCGGGAAAGCTGGCTTTCCGCATGCTGTAAGACAGCAACGTTCTGCAAAGGACCTGTTACTTGATGGTAGTGAATTGGCTGTGTATCCTTAGAACCATTTCTACGACTTCTCTGACACTGATTTTGTACCTAAACAAGAATAATCGCCGGAGCTCCCTAGTGCATGCTCTGAACTTGATGCCATCTACAACTGTTAATGAAGAGAGGGAAGAGAGGAAATGAAGACAGAAGATGGCATAGAACTAGGATACAGTCAGACTGCTACTGCTAGCATCAGAATCAGAACTCTGAACGGGCTGCTAAAATGGGGATGGAGCATGTCTGGGAATGTCACATGTGTCAGTTTCTAACTTAGCTCAATTCATTTAGGAACTCAAAACATTTATTGAATAAACACAGAGAACTGCGGTGTATATTTGTATCCTTTGAGCAGGTAGCCTGGCTGCTGGAGGGAATCATGATATCTGCTGCTGTTGGAACAGGTTGCCTGGCTGCTGGAGGGAATCATGATATCTGCTGCTGTTGGAACAGGTTGCCTGGCTGCTGGAGGGAATCATGATATCTGCTGCTGTTGGAACAGGTTGCCTGGCTGCTGGAGGGAATCATGATGTCTGCTGCTGTTGGAGCAGGTTGCCTGGCTGCTGGGGGGAATCATGATGTCTGCTGCTGTTGGAGCAGGTTGCCTGGCTGCTCGGGGGAATCATGATGTCTGCTGCTGTTGGAACAGGTTGCCTGGCTGCTGGAGGGAATCATGATGTCTGCTGCTGTTGGAACAGGTTGCCTGGCTGCTCGGGGAAATCATGATGTCTGCTGCTGTTGGAACAGGTTGCCTGGCTGCTGGAGGGAATCATGATGTCTGCTGCTGTTGGAACAGTGCCTGTCACCTGCAGGAGTTTGACTGCGACAATGTGTGCTCCAGATAAGGTTGAGGCAGACAGTTTTCTATCTAGCTAAGAAACTGTTGATAACATGTCCTGATTTGTATCATCTTTAACACCTGCTGTGTATAAACGAAATTCAAAACGGTGTTACTTCCGATTCCTGTCACATATCAGTAAATACCTGTAAATGACTACCTTAAATTTCTTGTGAAAATAAATATCTAAGCTAGCATGTGTTCCTTTCCATATTTTTTTTTTTTGTAATTGATATTACATAACAATGTTACCACTTGTTAAGTAACAATGCGACTGGTATGTCAGGGTTGATGCCATTCAGCAACAGCCCAGCATCAGAACTGCAGTTCACTGTTTGAAGTAATTAGTCCTGACAACCTGGCAGTAGCACATGCAATATTGTTACATAAGGTATATCCCCAGGCTGGATGCAAACCAGTCAGCTGCCATTAAATAAATGTCACAACATAAACCAGTGTAAAGACAAACCACACAAAATACACAGAAACCATGGACAGAAGCAAGCAATACTCCAAGATTTCACAGACTGCTCACCTGTTCAACATATTGGACTGAAAGTTTTTTTAATCTCAGCTCATTAGCACATCCCCAATTGCTCTGGCGAGAGCGTCTAACACCGGGTCTCTTTTGTAAATACTTCTACGGTTTAGTACATAACCCATGTGTATTTTGTGGACAGCCTTTCGCTTTTCAATCAAATCCTGTTAGGTACACTGAGTAGGGAGACACAGAGATGGCTGCTGCATTGAAGTAGAGAGCATGAATGGGTCAGACCAATGTGCTGGGATGTTGAAACTGACAACAAGTAGCAAGTGACTGAAAGTCTGTTACTTTCTAACAAAAAGATTTGCTGTCCACTCTAGGAGTCAGTCTCAGAACTGTACTGGCCAAGAAACAAACCCATCACTTGTGGGCATCAAAGTTTGGATCATTAACCTGGCAAAGAAGTGAACAAAACCTTAAACTTTCAAGCAATAAAAAAAAAAAAATTCCAGACAGAACAGAAAACATAGAAAAACATGTTTTTTAATATTGCGTACAAAAAAACTGGCGCTACAATGTTTCTGTTTATCACATGACTTTTTGTTTGAAACACATACATAGACTGGATTAAAATATGATAATTCAATAAACACATAAAAGTTCAGTGGAAGAAAATCAAATAAATTAAGAACACAATTTCATAATTCTACAATTAAACATAAAACCATCCGTAACATTGAGTTGTTAAGTAGTCAAGAAAACATCCATATTCGACCTTCAACAGCAATTATATATGTTTGAACAAAGAAGACACAAACAATAGATTGCACAATTTATTGCCTGGCATATTTCGCTTATCTCGTCAGGTATATACTACAGTAACAATTACATAAATAAAGCAAATAAGTGAATCCTTGAGGGATTTCTGGACACGTGGTAGCTAAGGACAACGTGTTTCAAATCCTTTATATGTCAACCAATGGCAGAACCCTAAGTTTTCCCGAAGCTTCTGCGATTCGTCACCTGCAACCGAAACTCTGTAAACAGAAAGAGATGGTTCTGTCTTTACTGCTGCCCTGGTAAAAACAGGCAGTCATGTTTGATCATTGTTGAAATTGATCTTCAGTTATAAAGGATTCACTTATTTGCTTCATTTATGTAATTGTTACTGTAGTATGCACCTGACGAGATACAGCGAAATATGCCAGACAATAAATTGTGCGATCTATTGTTTGTGACTTCTTTGTTCATATTATATATGTACCATCAGTGAGTGACTGAGTTTTTCTATTTTCCTGGGTTTTTTTTCCCCTCATCCTTCTTATTTTCAAAAGCAGATTTTTCTTAATTTCACACTTCATCCAATTTTCATCTTCATCAAATGTGTTCACCTCCAAATTCCAAATATTTCCCTGAATCTGACATTACATCTCCATGTTTTCTACTATGTCCGATTCAAACACCAAATCACTTTCCACCTCCCACTCCTTCTGTGAGTTCTTCCTAATCTCCATACCAACAGCCATGTCCATCTCACATTTCCCAGGGTTATTCATCATCAGAGCAGCGGGTGGCCAAGTGGTTGCAATGTCAGACTCTTGTGTCGGAGATCTGGGTTTGACCTCTGGACAGGTGATGGAGTTACTGTACAGTCCGTGGCAACAGCACTAGCAGCGCGGCCCTCTCTGCTTTGTACATGTTCACTGATTGCTGCTCTTATTCTATACAAAATTTAATGCATTTTTTTACCTAAAGAATTGTTTTCCCACAATCCTCAGGCTCAAAAAAAGTTGTAACTACACAGCAGTGACAGTTTCCGATTTGATAGTATCCTCCCCCCCCCCCCCACCACACAAATTCACAAGAGATACTACAGACATCCATAAAGAAGCTGTTCACAGGTTAATTTTTTTCAGGGAGATAAACAGACAATCATGAATAACTACTGGTAGAGATACAATTCACATCATCAATTGCTCCATGGAGAGAACCAATTCACATCTTCAAACACTCGATGGAGAGATACAATTCACATCATCATTCGCTCCATGCAGATATACAATTCACATCATCAATCGCTCAATGGAATGATACAATTCACATCATCAATTGCTCCATGGAGAGATACAATTCACATCATCAATTGCTCCATGGAGAGATACAATTCACATCATCAATCGCTTCATGGAGAGATACATCATCAATTGCTCCATGGAGAGATACAATTCACATCATCAATCGCTCCAGAGAGACATACAACCATCAACATCTCCAGAGAGACATACAACCATCAACATCTCCAGAGAGACATACAACCATCAACATCTCCAGAGAGACATACAACCATCAATATCTCCAGAAAGACATTCAACCAATAACATTTCCAGGAAGATATACAACTATCAACATCTCTCGGCGTCCAGGCGAGACTGTTGACCACTTTAACATGTACAAACATTTACATCCCTGGGGAGATGTCCAAACAGACAAACATGAGAGGATTTACAAAGACCTACATCTCTGATGAGTTTCCCAAACAGATATACTCAATGGAGAGTTTAATAGTAACATGTCCTAGCGAGTTTTCTGAACAGACACGCTCAACAGAAGATGTGTACATGTCTAAACATCCACAGGATGTTTCCCAAAGAGACCCATTCAAGGAAGAATGTACAAACATCCATAAACCCTAGATAGTTCCTCAAAGAGACACACACAAAGGAAGAACGCACCAACATCCACATCCCTGGTAAGCCGCTTAACGAGACACTCAGTGGAGCATGTACAATAATCTACATCTCTGGCAAGCTTCTCAAAAAGACACACTCAATTTAGAATGTAAAAACATCCACAACGCTGTGTTGTTCCCCCAACCTCGTTCAACCACCCACCGACACACAAAAACACGAAGAATAATTCACAATCATGCTGTACAAGGAAAATATATTAACGACACAGAAATGTAAACAACTCTGTGACATATTTACATGTATGGTAGTCCTGGACTCTCCACATATTACATAGTTCCTGCACAACCATTTATCACATTTCATGATACTGCTGTTTACATAAATAAGCAATAAATACTGATAAAATATTACACAGTAAACACAATCCATCATTTATAAATATTTATACTTTTGTTCAGAAGAATATTCAAGTATATACATGATGAAGTTATCAAGCTCTATGGCTTGCGCTCTGGAGGTTGTGGGTTTGTTTCACACTTTGTCGTTCGGTTCACGAATGCAGTTTTTACTGAGATCTGGTGGAACTGTCACAGGAGCTAAGGAATTTGTGCTCTGTTTGACACTGTCAGCAGATGGCTAGCTGTTCTGCAGAGAGAGACTGAGCTATTTTGGATAAAGTCCAGTGTAACAAAGTTAATCTTCATAACTTTAAAACAGTCAGTTCAAAAACAACTTCATCTTAAGAAAACAAATAAATTCTTCTTCTTCTTAACTTCCTCTTTTAGAGCTTCAGGTGTCAAGAGAGAGAGATACAGTTCTGCTTCTTGTTCTTCTGACCGTTTCAACCACAGACACATTGTGCTGTTTTAGAGTTTCTCTGATGTTATCTTTCCATTTTGTTCTTGGTCTACCCTACCTTGTACTCTAGGTCCTTCTGCTCTTATGGTAAATGTCTTGTACGACATGGCATCACAAGGCATTCTCCATAAGTGAGCAAACCATTTGATTAGCTGTAACAAATTAACTGCCATTAGTTTGATGAATGTTCAAAACCAACCCCAGCATCTATTGGTTGTTTAGTGTTTGTGTGTGTGTGTGTGTGTGTGTGTGTGAGAGAGAGAGACAGACAGACAGACAGATAGACAGACAGACAGACAAAGAGGCATACACCCATATATACATATATAATTTAAATGTAATAATATAATAAGCAATTAGCAAGTTTGAAAAATATTTAAAATGACATCAGCAGATAAGCATTCTCTGAAGTGGCTCCACAGCAATACCAGCCCATACATAGCTCAAGTCAAGTAAACAATGGTCCCTTTTCACACCAGTGGCTCCGCAGGCACCATCACACCTAACCAACCATCCAATAATTTATGTGAATTCATTGGATTTTCATATTAACGACTTGCATGTGGCCGGAGTATATATCCTTTCCCTGTCTTGTTATTAACATGAATTCTGTCTTATCTTCACTGATAAATAGTACCATTTTATGAGCTGCTTCTTTAAAGAGAGTCAGTGCTTTTACAGTCTCTAGTTCAACTGTCTCTAGAAATGTGCAACACTATGAAAGAAAACAAAAAAAAACCGAAACTTTTTGGCTGTATTTATTACCTCATAGGTGCGATGTAGGATGGAAGGGATGCTTAAACTTGTTGCCTCAAGAAGCTACAAAATCAACACTTGATACAGTGGTTTGCATGACAGAGATTATATTTACTTGAAAAAGCACTGGGTACGAATGCAGAAAGATGGGGGGTTGTAAACAAATTCTTTTTTTTTTTAAACCAAGAAATTATGACACCATACAGCACTAGCCAAGTGGCCTGTTAAATATTCAGGCTTAAAGACCCTCCCAGCTCCACCACAACAGTGGTTAAACAGCCAGTAATGGCGGTTTTATGACCTTATATTAAGGTGTTGCGAGTCCGACTCGTAATTGCAACGTACTGTGATCGAAACCCACTGCTGGCTTCGTGGATTTTTTATCATGATACGGGGCGTCGCAGGTCAACCCAGCCTAAAAATGGGGAAGTAGACGGCCGGCGCAATGCTGACATTACTCACCTAGTGCCGAATGGTCTGTAAAAATATGGGTGCTCTTCCCATATGCCCGATACGCCTAAAGGCATAAAAAGGGATCTTTACTTTTACTTTTACTGTACTTATACTTTCCTATTATACGACTATACTTTCCTATTACACTACATTACTTTCCTATTATACTACATTACTTACCTATTATACTACTATACTTTCCAATTATACTAAATTACTTTTCTATTATACTACATTACTTTTCTATTATACTACTATACTTTCCTATTATACTACTATGCTTTCCTATTATACTACATTACTTTCCTATTATACTACTATACTTTCCAATTATGCTACTATACTTTCCTCGTGGTTACCCGCCGAGAGCATTATAGAATTAAGTACCGGTCACTGTATACTTCTTTTTAATTCAACAGTCAGTAAAAGGTAAGTCAGTTAAATCTCTGCTATGTACATGTTTACTGATCGCTCCTCTAATTCTATACAGAAATTAATGAATTTTTTCTCAAAGACAGGACATCAGCTTTGATTTTGTTTTCTAGGTCACCAGGGTGAAGTCTAAGGATTTAGGACCACACGGCTAGTGCAGTTTGACATCCACATATTTTAGAGTTAGTCATCAACCATCTTCACATGGCTCTACCAAGACCGGCTCCAGCTGATGGGCCCCGCTGCATACGTCACCAAACCCGGGCTAACGATACACTAATGCAGCATTTCTCAAACTTATTTCGTCGGGCAACAAAATTTCGCTGCACATTTACCCGTAAAGCGGTCTGAATACTTAAATGAAGAAAAAAACAGTGCAATTTTAATGTCAAGCTGATTTTGAAACATTCTTGACATATGCAGTTTGAGAGCTGTGCGTCAATGTACCGTTAGCCTGGTTTAGTGATGTCAGCAGCATGGCCTGTCAACTGCAGCCAGTCTTAGTTCTACACATAGTATCCCCCGTGAGTCACCTCACAACCATATTTATCATTTCACAGCCACATTTATTATCTCACAAGGCGTCTGATTAATCAACATGGAACAAGCATGATCAGTCGTTTTACTCTTGTGGAACTGCTGAGAAGGCGATCGGAGCACCTATGGATCTGTCCAGAGCGTTAGGATGATAGTCCTCGGTAATCACAACCCAACTTATGAACTAAACACCTTACCTGGGACCCCACACACTATTAGCAATAAACCTCACCTATCACCTCACAACCATACAAAATATGCACAAAGCAAATTATTTGGTTTCAGGGAACTCCTCCAAGTAAGCAGGCAACGGTTTTGTGACCTCGTCATACTTAGGCGGCATCACCATGACCATCATCTGGTCTGGATCCTCGAGGGTGTGGTCAGAGTTATCTCCTACTGCTGGCATGGGAACCGGATGCAACACAACAGATACCACTGAATCATAGGCTGGAGGTGGTTCTACTATAGACTCGCTGGTCCCAAGCTGGTCCAGGGATGGGCTGTAAATTACTGCAGGAAGAAAGACAATTTTAAGATTAGGAAGTATGATTCATTTCAAGCAAACAAAAGAAGAATTAGGAGTTCTTTCAAGAAAAACTAAAAACATTAACTGGTTCCTATGAGAACAGAGATTTATACTGGTATTATAGAACCAGTACTGTGCAGCTTTGACAGAACTGAACAAATGGTTTGAAAGAACCACTACTGTGCGGCTTTGACAGAACTGAACAAATGGTATGAAAGAACCACTACTGTGCAGCTTTGACAGAACTGAACAAATGGTATGAAAGAACCATTACTGTGCAGCTTTGACAGAACTGAACAAATGGTATTATAGAACCACTACTGTGCAGCTTTGACAGAATTGAACAAATGGTATGATAGAACCACTACTGTGCGGCTTTGACAGAATTGAACAAATGGTATGATAGAACCACTACTGTGCGGCTTTGACAGAATTGAACAAATGGTATGAAAGAACCACTACTGTGCGGCTTTGACAGAACTGAACAAATGGTATGAAAGAACCATTACTGTGCAGCTTTGACAGAACTGAACAAATGGTATTATAGAACCACTACTGTGCAGCTTTGACAGAATTGAACAAATGGTATGATAGAACCACTACTGTGCGGCTTTGACAGAATTGAACAAATGGTATGATAGAACCACTACTGTGCGGCTTTGACAGAACTGAACAAATGGTATGAAAGAACCACTACTGTGCAGCTTTGACAGAACTGAACAAATGGTATGATAGAACCACTACTGTGCAGCTTTGACAGAACTGAACAAATGGTATGAAAGAACCATTACTGTGCAGCTTTGACAGAACTGAACAAATGGTATTATAGAACCACTACTGTGCAGCTTTGACAGAATTGAACAAATGGTATGATAGAACCACTACTGTGCAGCTTTGACAGAATTGAACAAATGGTATGATAGAACCACTACTGTGCGGCTTTGACAGAACTGAACAAATAGTATGAAAGAACCACTACTGTGCAGCTTTGACAGAACTGAACAAATAGTATGAAAGAACCACTACTGTGCAGCTTTGACAGAACTGAACAAATAGTATGAAAGAACCACTACTGTGCAGCTCTGGGTGAACTAAACCACGTCCGGCTGTATATTGGTCCTGACAACTGATCACGGCACATTTTGGCCGAGTCCCCTCAAAAATAGGTTACTGCAAGCGTTTCCATGTTGCATTTTGTGACATTATAATATGCTTACAAACTTCTGTGTTTTGATTGTATTCGTATTACAAATCGACAAGCGTATATTGTAAAGTGGACATACAAGCTGTTAGATTACAGCAATTTTAATTGTAATTCACAGGAGACAGTGAGGTTGTGATGCGTGTGCCAGTGTCACTGTTTCTAGTCAGTAGTTCGGATTTTTGGGAACTGACTGTTTATTACTTCTCTACTTTAAATGTAGAAATCTTACTTTTAGGGATAATACAAACAGGTAATTTAGAAGCCATATCTGGAGACTTTCGACAGTTGTCAGGTGCAAACTATCTTGTGTTTGAAGAAAACTATTGCTTTCATATTGACTGTGCATAAATGGTGCAACCACACTGTGGATAAATTGTGTCAAGATATTTCGGAGCTCTAGGTAAGTGGATGAAAATAATATTTAATTTACTAACTAACCTCTCACAGCAAGTCACTCTTTGCCTCTTTACTAATTGTTGACTAACAGTATAATTATATGTTGTAGCAGTACACTTATAATATTAATCCTTAACCATTTGACTTATGCTTCGCGAACACTGGCTGTAAACTCTTGCGGAAACTTCTGGTAGTTCATCCACTTCTTTTGCATATTTGCAGTTGTACGGTCTGTGTTAATTTTTGTAAACTGGCTTCTGCTTTGCTTCGCGAACACTGGCTGTAAACCCTTGCGGAAACTTCTGGTAGTTCATCCACTTCTTTTGCATATTTGCAGTTGTACGGTCTGTGTTAATTTTTGTAAACTGGCTTTTGCTTTGCTTCGCGAACACTGGCTGTAAACTCTTGTGGAAACTTCTGGTTGCTCATCGACTTCTTATGCATATTTGCAGTTGTACAGTCTGTGTTAATTTTTGTAAACTGGCTTTTGCTTTGCTTCGCGAACACTGGCTGTAAACTCTTGTGGAAACTTCTGGTTGCTCATCGACTTCTTATGCATATTTGCAAGTGTACGGTCTGTGTTAATTTTTGTAAACTGGCTTTTGCTTTGCTTCGCGAACACTGGCTGTAAACTCTTGCGGAAACTTCTGGTTGCTCATCGACTTCTTATGCATATTTGCAGTTGTACGGTCTGTGTTAATTTTTGTAAACTGGCTTTTGCTTTGCTTCGTGAACACTGGCTGTAAACTCCTGCGGAAACTTCTGGTTGCTCATCGACTTCTTATGCATATTTGCAGTTGTACAGTCTGTGTTAATTTGTGTAAACTGGCTTTTGCTTTGCTTCGCGAACACTGGCTGTAAACTCTTGCAGAAACTTCTGGTTGCTCATCGACTTCTTATGCATATTTGCAGTTGTACGGTCTGTGTTAATTTTTGTAAACTCTCTTTTGCTTTGCTTCGTGAACACTGGCTGTAAACTCTTGCAGAAACTTCTGGTAGTTCATCGACTTCTTATGCATATTTGCAGTTGTACGGTCTGTGTTAATTTTTGTAAACTGGCTTTTGCTTTGCTTCGCGAACACTAGCTGTAAACTCTTGCGGAAACTTCTGGTTGTTCATCCACTTCCTATGCATATTTGTTACCAAAAAATTCACAATGATAAGGAATTGATTTCATCCAACAAGATGAAACTGGACAAATTTGTTTGTGCTGTTTGTACCTTGAGGATACATATTTAGTAGTGCTAGAAGTACTGTTAAGAAAACTACTCTGGGTGAAAAAAGTATTGCACATATCAATTTCATACTGATTGTGCTTGTTTACTAATTATTAAATAACAGTATAATTATATGTTGTAGTAGTCTACTAATAATAATAATAACAATCAATCATTTATATTTATGTTATGTATGTCATGTGTTTGTTTCATAGCAGTATTTTTATGCGCTAAATTTGATAAAGTACAAATGTCACACCCCCCCCCCCCAACCACCACCACCACCACCCCACCCCCGCTCCTCTTATGCAACAATACCCTCCTAGAATCAAAGAGTTAGCACTGATATTTCTTTTATTTTGCTGGAACAACTTTTAGTTTACATCTAAACGTTACTGATGTTTATGTTCATGACTGTAGCAAAAGCATTTTTGTTTGTCTGTAAGAGCCTTTATTGTTATATTTAATTGGCACACTTATTTACCTTAAAAATGACGAATAGTTCTAAAAAATATGTCGAAAATTAATGAAACTGTAGTTTAATTTGTGTATACATCTCCTCGATAAAAACTGTGGACGCAGAGGGACTCAATTCTTGCACAAGAACGGGAATTCCAGTTAGAGCTGTACAGCCTTATAAATCTGGAGCTGGCCGTGAACAAATAGTATGGTAGAACCACTACTGTGCAGCATTGACAGAATTGAACAAATGCTATGACAGAAACACTACAGTGCAGCTTTGACAGAATTGAACAAATGGTGTGATAGAACTACTACTGTGCAGCTTTGACAGAACTGAACAAATGGTATGAAAGAACCACTACTGTGCAGCTTTGACAGAACTGAACAAATGGTATGAAAGAACCACTACTGTGCAGCTTTGACAAAACTGAACAAATGGTATTATAGAACCACTACTGTGCGGCTTTGACAGAATTGAACAAATGGTATTATAGAACCACTACTGTGCAGCTTTGACAGAACTGAACAAATGGTATGAAAGAACCACTACTGTGCAGCTTTGACAGAATTGAACAAATGGTATTATAGAACCACTACTGTGCAGCTTTGACAGAATTGAACAAATGGTATTATAGAACCACTACTGTGCAGCTTTGACAGAACTGAACAAATGGTATGAAAGAACCACTACTGTGCAGCTTTGACAGAATTGAACAAATGGTGTGATAGAACCACTACTGTGCAGCTTTGACAGAACTGAACAAATGGTATTATAGAACCACTACTGTGCAGCTTTGACAGAATTGAACAAATGGTATTATAGAACCACTACTGTGCAGCTTTGACAGAATTGAACAAATAGTCTACTGTGCAGCTTTGACAGAATTGAACAAATGGTATTATAGAACCACTACTGTGCAGCTTTGACAGAACTGAACAAATGGTATTATAGAACCACTACTGTGCAGCTTTGACAGAATTGAACAAATGGTTTTATAGAACCACTACTGTGCAGCTTTGACAGAATTGAACAAATAGTCTACTGTGCAGCTTTGACAGAATTGAACAAATAGTATTATAGAACCACTACTGTGCAGCTTTGACAGAACTTGACAGTTTATTGGAACTGGGGTATTAAACAACATGCATGCAGAAACGGGTTTTGGGGCAAAGAAAGAAGATATGCCAATCAACACCCACCGGGTAAGTTGAGGATACAGACATTGAGCTGGCTGTTACATCAGAGATTGAAAACATGAATGGGTTGGATCGGACTGATGTGGCAGGATGTCAATATGGACAATAAGTAACAGATGCAAATTCCAGAACCCACCCATATAAAACACTTATACTGGGGCATCCTACAGTTAGGAAGTAACTTGCTGTCCTACAGAACACAATGATCTTAATAGTGACTCTCAAAATAACAACATCACAAATAGCAGTAGATTATTTAGTTGTTACCTGAACAAGTGTGAAAGCATTGACCTGACGGAACTGCAGTTCTCTCCCCTTGACACCTGACCCACTTACGTGAGATGAGGAGTTTCCCCAAGATGAGGGTTCCCACCAAAATAATGATCCCAAACACTGAAAGTAACAAGCATTTAACATCTCCTTAAACAAACACTGAAAGTAACAAGCATTCAACATCTCCTTAAACCAACACTGAAAGTAACGAGCAGTTAACATCTCCTTAAACAAACACTGAAAGTAACAAGCATTCAACATCTCCTTAAACAAACACTGAAAGTAACAAGCATTCAACATTTCCTTAAATCAACACTGAAAGTAACAAGCATTTAACATCTCCTTAAACAAACACTGAAAGTAACAAGCATTTATCATCTCCTTAAACAAACACTGAAAGTAACAAGCATTCAAAATTTTTTTAAATCAACACTGAAAGTAACAAGCATTCAACATCTCCTTAAACACTGAAAGTAACAAGCATTTAACATCTCCTTAAACCAACAAACATATGCAAACATATTATAAATTTACAAAACTGTTGGCATATAATTAAATACTTTAATTAAAAAACATAGTTAACATATCACTGAAAATGCTAAGCTGGGTCAGTATAAACAGTAGAGGAAGGCATGGCACTGGGTAAGAGGGGAAGAGGCTGACCAGCAGAAAGAAAAGCATAGGACATAAAAGACAACTTGGACAGGAACATGCATGAGATGGGAAAGCTGACGAGGGACCGAGTTTTTGCAGGCAGACTGTGATGGGAGAGACATTCTGTAGAGGACCTGTAACATGATGATGATCAGTAAAAATAACAAGCGCTTTGAATGAACTTTTTTGTACTGATTTAACAGGGTCTTACCGTAGTGAAGTGGCTAAGCGCTCACTTGCAGATCTGAAAGTCGTGGTTTCAAGTCTAAACAGGGTTGGACTTTTTCACAAATGACACTGGCTCTCAGACCCAAGGCGAAATGGTTACCAGTGAAAAGTTCTAGGAAGTCAAGATGGCCAGACAGATTCTGGCCACACCCTCCATCAGGTGTTGATTGGCCTATAAAAGTATAAGTCTAGCCCTGCATGTCTGAAGGCCTTTGAAAAGGTTCCTTCACTTTTACCGACTGAACAATGGAGGCTGTATATATGCATCCACTACTGTGAGTATTCTGAGGTGAGGCTACGTTTTTGACAGGGCAATTCTCGCAGCACTGTCTAAAAGCCACGAAAATAGTCTTGTCTCAAACCACAATTGGATTTCAGCCAAATTCAATAAGTTGTGTTTTACAAAATGCTAGTAAAGGGCGAACACACCCGCTCCCCCCCCCCCCCCCTTTTCCACCTAAATTGGGCCATAGCACTAACAAGGTAAAAGTTAAAGCATGCAGAAACAATTTTCATGTAAAGAACGGCAAATGTTTAAAATTAACAACAATCATTGCCTCTCACCAATACCCATGACACACAGCATCACTGTGATTGGCTGTTGCCTGCCCACAGCCTCAGCAATGAACACGGTTCCCAGAACCAGCATGATGAGGCCCACAAAACCTGCACACGTGAACCCAATCATCATCTGGCGCCACAGTTTGGGCCCATCGGCCAGAGCTTTGTCTACATTTGACCGGCAGCCGACCAGCACCCTCTGCTGATTGGCCACATACTCTTCATAAGGACAGGCCTGAGGTCTAGGAGATACTGGAGCTCTTGAACTGGGACTGGGCATTATTTCTCGATGATGAGTACTTGCACAACTGTGAATGACAAGCAAGAACAGAAATAACACTATTTCATCTGTAAGTGACTAACAACCTGTCACCATGTCATCTGTGAGCAACAAGCCAAAACATATACAGTGGTACCTTGGTTTATCCGTTCCTGATCCTTGGATGTATACTAAACAGTACGTACACCAAATGAATTTTCCCATAAGAAATAAAGGGAAATGTATTAATCCCATCCCAAGAAGAAAAAAGCATACTGTTATTGACATAATATATGCAGGAAGTGGTGGGGGGGGGGGGGGGGGGGGGGGGCTTGAATAATATAATTTACATACTTCCTAATATTAAATTACATAAATACAAAAGCAATCAAATGAATTAAATGAAAATTTAACCTCACTTTACTTGCTGAATGTTGAATTAAGAACTGACACCACAGCACTTAGGACAATCCCATAAGTGCTCAGTCCCCATCTTCAGCAGCAAGTTCCAATTCCGATGGTACCAGAACTTAACTTGCTGAAAAGAGCTGAGTACCTACTAGGATGGTACAGAGAGGAGAGGAGATGTTCCTATTCGGAAGGAGAGCCATCGTTCCAGCAAATCTTCATGAATCTGATATTCTAGTTTCTTTGTTTTTTCACTATTTTTCCTTCTCTTTATGCTACTTGGATCTGGTTGGAGACCTTCAGGTTTTACTTTTAGTTAAAAAAAACTGACAAATAACATTGCTTCTGTCGTCTCCTCAGGATGTTTCGGAAATGTGACACTGTTTGGTTACTTCAGGCAAGGCTATTTGACTGTCCTGTGACCTGTGGATTTCCCCTGTTTGTGGTTGGCTAATAAGAAAGTACCAAAAACAGTTACAAAAAGTGAGATAAGATTCTTGAGATGAGCACACATGGCAGAGAGAAATCAGACTTAAATGCAAGGTGGTGGCAGCGCTGGATTTCATTACAAAACTACTATTTCTTCTTCTTCTCTAGTCACATTCTGGCTTTCAGCATCAGGTTGTGAAGAGCCATTGGGTGTGAGACTTGGTATGTGATACACAGATGCTGGGAATAATTCCCTCACATATTCCAACTATCCATCACTTGCATGGTCAACCTCTTGGTCTTCTTCTTTTTCTTTTTTTAGCATTCCGAGCCCTTGAGGTTCATTGCTGCAAATATCACCTGCCTCCATTCATCTCTCTTGTTGGCCTTCTCTTTCCAGTTGGTGACATCAAGTGTTTGCAGGTCTGTCTAGATATTATATCTCCATCGTCTTCTTGATCTGGCTCATGGTCTATGACCATTCATTTCCCTTGTGTATAGTTTTTGCTTCTCTGCAATCTGACATTCTTTTAATATGTCTCAACCATTTCAGTCTATTAGCTCTCATGATGCCAGTGATCAGTGGTGATTTAAACAGATTATGAATTTTGTTGTTGCTTCTCACTCTCCATTCCCCACTGTTTGCATCTTTAATGGGTCCAAAGATCTGTCGTAATACTCTGTTTTCGAAAACCTGTAATAAGGCTTCATCTCTTTTATTTGTGCTCCAAGTTTCACAGCCATATAAAATGACTTGTCTTATCAACCAACCTCTAGGTCTGCTTCAATTATTTCTAAGTGACAGGCTTCTCTGAAGTACAGTCTGGTGGCAGTGGCCATAAGTCTATTTTCTTCTGATGTAGTTTAGCACTGGTTCCCTCCCAACTTCTTTCCTGACATCATCATTTCCGATCCTGTCTCTTATTTTGGATTTGTCATAGACATTTCATCTTTGTTGTTTACATTTTTGTTGTTGTTGTCAATGACACTGGTAAAACTTTCATGGCTCTTATGATGGGACAGACAGGACTACAAAAATTAGATTTCTAAGAGCATGCATCTTTCCCATTGCAACATACACCTGTGAGACCTAGACACTTACTAAATATGCTGAACAACGCATAAATGCCTTTGAATACAAATGTTATAGACGGGTTCTAAAAATATCGTGGGTAAAGAAAAGAACAAATGCATTCATACTACAAGTACTGAATACTAAAGAAGGTTGGCTATTAAAGACAATAAAACACAGAAAATTGAAATACTTTGGTCACCTGAAATGTCACGAAAGTTTAGAGAGAACAATAATGAAGGAGAATATGCCTGGGAAGAGAGGAAGAGGAAAGCCAAAGAGAAGATGGGAGCAGGATGTGGTGGATGATCTCCAGATGGGTGTATCAGATGCAGGACATCCTGCTTGTGATCAAGGAATTTTCTGAAGGGTTGTTATGACAGCAAGATTCTGCAAAGGTCATGTTACTGACTGACTGACTGATTGACTGGTAACACAATGTTAGTAAAAATACTGTACTGAGTAATGCTCTTTTGGTGTCAACTGCTACATGTTTGTTCTGCAAAACTGTTGACATCCATCCAATGATTTGATTTGCATTATTACATCCATATTCAGTCTCTGCTTCCATTTTTCCATGTGATTATAATATGCTCCCTCAATAAGAAAACATTAGAAAAACAACAGGTGAAGTATTTCAGCCATCTAATTTGACTGCCAAATGAAAATATATCTTAATGAGCAATAATGAAAAGATGCTGACGATTTAAACAATGAACAGATGGAATATCAGAGTCCCTAGGAATCTTTGCATACAACAGATACTAATGGGCACCTCACATGGACAGGATAGTTAGTGCAAGATACAAACACTATCATCATCATCATCACTTCTCGTTATGCCTAGTGGCATATGAGGCTTCAGAGAGGACTTTCCATGCTTTCCTGTCCTGTGCAATCTTCAGTGTAGTTTTCCATGTCAAAGATGCCGCACTCAGGTCACTTTCCATCATTCGTCTCCATGTTGTTTTTGGGCGCCCCTGTTTTCTTTTTCCCTCTGGTGTCCATGTGAGAGCTGTTTTGGCAGGTATATCAGAAGTCACTCTCATAACAGGGCCAAGCCATTTCCATCTTCTCTTGGTAATCATACTGTCTAAAGTTTCTTGGTTTGTGGCTTGAAGTAGTTTAGTGTTTGAGATTGTATCTGGTCAGAAAATTGTGATAATTCTACGTAGACATGTGTGGTGGAAGGTGGACAGCTTGTGTGCATCCTTTTTGGTCATTCTCCAGCATTCCGCTCCATAAAGAAAAACTGGCAAAATGATGCTCTTGCAGAGTCGGAGTTTTGTTCCTCTGCAGTAATTGTTGGATATCCAGATTTGCCTCATCCTTCCAAAAGCAGCTCTAGCTTTGTTCAGGAGTGACTGTATGTCTTCCTCTGTCCCTCCAAGTAGGGACACCACACTGCCAAGATATGGGAAATGTTCTACATTTTCAAGTGATTGGTTACTAATGGTCACTGGTTGTTGGTTTGAAATGTTTGTCATGATCTTAGTTTTCTTTGTATTTATTCTCTGTCACACCCTTTCTGCTGTGCAGTGTAGTCTGTTTCTTTTCTCTTGTATATATTCATGTTTATGTGATAGGAGTGCTATATCATCTGCAAAATCAAGGTCCTCAAGCATGGTGAATGGAGTCCATCGTATGCCATTAAGAGGCAAGAGGACATTAAGAGGCATACCAAACACTATCAGTCCCTGGGAATCTTTGCATACGATACATACTAATGGGCACCTCACAAGGACAGGATAGTGCAAGATACAAAACTATTAGAGGAATAAGGTTAAATGAGATGAACAGATTTAGAATAAATAGCACTTGCAAGTGGTTATCTTAACTGAAATAAAAGATATAATTCAGAACTAATATATCAGTAGATCCTGCAAGTAAGTAAGTGCTTCTTCTGTGTTTGCCGTTAAAGCAGCGGTTGGCATGTTGTGTTGTGTTAACAGTCGGACTGCGATATCAAAGTATTTTTAGTATTTGATTGCGATGTTTGGGCTAACACATAGGATTTCAGACAACATTTGATAAGTCGCCTTTAACGACATGCTTGTTAATGACTTGTTAAAGAGCTTGAGACAGTAGACCATTTTACCTATCTGGGTTCCACAGTGAATAGTAAACTATCACTGGACCAAGAAATCAACATCACGATAGGTAAGGCAGCAACAAAAATGAGCAGATTGACAAAGAGAGTTTGGGAGAACAGAAAGCTCACAATTAAAACAAAAACCCTTGTCTATCAGGCTTGTGTTCTCAGCACTCTGCTTTATGGCAGTGAAACTTTGTCAACCTATTCGCACCAGGAGGGACGGCTTAATAGCTTTCACATGTGATGCCTAAGAAGAATACTTGGCATTAAATGGCAGGACAAAATTACAAACACTGAGGTACTTGAAAAAGCTGGTACTACAACAGTCTTTTCCATGCTCAGTCTATGAAGGTGGTTGGGTCACACCTGGAGAATGGAGGATGGCAGAGTCCCTAATGACATCCTTTATGGTGAATTAAAGACATGAAGAAGATGTTGAGGCCGACCTCTACTACATTATAAAGATGTGTGCAAGCGGGACATAAATGATACAGGTATTGATGCTGACTCATGGGAACAAAATGCCATGGACCGTGTTGTGTGGAAAGGGCATGTCAGGAAGGGAATGAGACTGAAGGAAGAAATGATTGCAGAAAGGATGAGAGCTGAGCGTCTGAAAAGAAACGGATTAAACACGGATGTTGTTAACAACGGTCCTGAAATCTCATGCTATCATTGTGGAAGACTTTTCTTGACACGGGCGGGTCTTGCTAGTCACACTCGCCATCGCCATGGGCTGTGAGTCTCATGCCTCCTCAAAGCGCAATATAAAAATAATATTATCGCCTGGAAAGACGGAAAGGTACCATGATGTTAATGACTAGTCTAGTCTTTAGCCCCACCCCACAACCCAAAAAAATGGACCCCTGGAATCCACACAGTGACAACCCGGTATTCCCTTTTTTGAATGAACTTTGATCGAACTAAGATTTCTAACTTTTATTTTTATTTTATTGCACTTCCAGCGAAATGCGATATCCATAATTCACTATTATTCGAATTTTAGAATAAGGTGCC